CCACTAAATGGTTTGGGCAGGTATATTAAGTTCTTCATAGGTTTTTAAGTTTTTAAAATTTTTATTAACATACTTGAATATACTATGTTGACACTCTAGAAGCCAACACAATGCTTTGGAATGGTATGGTGGCCAAATTATGGTGGACCCAAGTGTATGTAACAGTGATTTCTAACAACAGCTAACAGGGTTGGATGAATGTCCCAATGATTAATATTTAGAGAACCCAATTACAGAATGTATGTTGACATGAAAATTGAATAACCTGTAACTGGATACTTACCATTCCCCTCCTTCCAGCTAACATGGTTTATAATGTGAACAGCATGGCCATCTATTCAAGTCCTTTGAAGGTGAGATTACGAACACAGAAGAGCAAGGAAGAGCCAGTTAGTGGATCAGAAAATGAAACTTCCGTGCTTAAAATGGTCATAAATGATGTAGCTCTAAGCAAAATCTTCTGTCATTTGTCACTAATTTAGCTTCTAGGTGCTAAGATGTGTTTCTCATTTTAAGTATTGTTTACACTTTCCTACATGTCAAGGACAGGTTGAGAATTGAGGGAAGTTTCCTGCTTATGCAAAGCTAGGTAGGCTTAGAATGGTTTTAACATCCTTTTATCATCCAGTTTACTTGATAGCGGCTATGGGTTTGTTGCAGTTCTGCATCCGTTTTGGTACTTGTTTTATAAAGAGAATTTATACAGTAAACAAAAAGGGGGAGGAGAGAGATAATCTTTTTTAATACACTGTAAAAATTGGGATAGTTGGCCGGGCGTGGTGGCTAACGCCTGTGGGCACTTTGAGAGGCCAAGTTGGGTGGATCACCTGAGGTCAGGAGTTTGAGACCAGCCTGGCCAACATGGTGAAACCCTCTCTACTAAAAATAAAAAAATTAGCCAGGCGTTGTGGCAGGCACCTATAATCCCAGTTACTCAGGAGGCTGAGGCAGGAGAATCACTTGAACGTGGGAGGTGGAGGTTGCGGTAAGCTGAAATCACACCATTGCACTCGAGCCTGGGGGATGAGTGAGATATCATCTCAAAAAAAAAAAAGGCATAGTGCCACCATCTGCTTATCTGTTGATGTACTGTTCACAGTGCCGGTCCCAAAGGCGATAACATCTATGAATGGAGATCAACCATTCTAGGGCCTCCAGGATCCGTGTACGAGGGTGGTGTATTCTTTCTCGATATCACTTTTACACCAGAATATCCCTTCAAGCCTCCAAAGGTAAGACATTTCCTTGATTTATGCTCAAATTTACTAATTCCCATGAGAGAGACTGTTGAGATTTTCTAAATTTAATGTTTAATCACAAAAACTAGATTATGTCTTAATGGATCTGAGTATTTCAACATACACAAAATACTTTAGGTTGATTTTGCCTTATCTGGCAGAGACCATTCTAGAAGTGCTTTGTTTTGATTATGCTTAAAATTGTGCTACTGGAAGTAATGTCAGCAACCTATAATTAATCTCCTGTTTTCCAGCCCATAGAGAAAGGTTTCTGAACGGTTAAAAATGGTATCAAGCCAGGTGCAGTGGTGCACATCTGTAGTCCTGCTGCTTGGGAGGATTGTTTGAGCCCAGTCTGGGCAACAAAGTGAAACCCAAAAAAAAGGCAGGGCAGGTCAGGTCAGACAACCAGAGAATCATCAATAACTAGAGAATGAGAAATCTCTGGATTCCGTTCTCCTCCCTGTCATGTTTTGGTCTTGTTCAGTTACCTCTAGGCCTCAATTTTTTTTCTAGGACAGGTGGGGATTGCGCAAGTCACCCATCTCTCCTAACACTCAGTCATCTATGATTCTCATTCAGTCAGAAAGAAAACCCCTTCTTGGGGATTAGGTAGACTGCCAGGTAAAAGTACAATTGCAGCAACAAGAAGTAATTGAAAATCACTTTTTTAAAAAAATTAGTAAAATTACAGATAATTTTTACTTTGTGTCTCGGTGTATTTCACAAATAAAAATTAAGAGACCAAACAAAATAACACATGCTCCTGTGGCTTGTGTTCTGCTGTGGCCCTTGCCCATTACTGGCTCTGCATCCATGGAGACTTGATTTTATAATAGTAAATTCTGTGATTTAGGTAGACAGGATGTCTGCTGGACCTGATGTAAAGGTCAGAAAAAAGCAGAAATAGATATCTCTTCAAATTTGGTAAGCTTTCTGGGTGTGTGGTCATTGTTTGCTAAGTATGTTGTTTAATTATCTTTGTGTATTCATTATGTTGCACTCCAGTTTTTAAAAGGTATTTATGATTCTCAGTATTTCTCAAAGCTTACTTTGAGGCAGTGTAGTACTGCCAGCTAACACAAGAGGTCAGCCAACAATTAGCTATTCAAACTTGGAAACGTTAATATTTAAAACATTTTAAATTGCCAAAGATGAAATTAGGAAGTACACCTTTCAGTGGACATAACATTTTAAATGAACTTGACACGTTTCCTGTGAATGGCATCAATGAAGACTTTCTAATCACCTTTATTAAACAAGTCTATTTTCCTGACAGCTTTAATTAAAACTGTTTTTATTCACCTTTTTTTAAAAACCTACATATCTGGGAGTTTTTTTTGGTTTCTAATTAGGGTCATTCAGTAGAATACTTAGTAAAAAGTTTAATTGTTCGCTGTTTAAATACTGTTTGACACTTCCTTGATTTTTTAGGTTACATTTCGGACAAGAATCTATCATTGTAATATTAACAGTCAAGGTGTTATTTGCTTGGACATATTGAAAGATAATTGGAGTCCAGCACTAACCATTTCTAAAGTCCTTCTTTCTATCTGCTCACTTCTCACAGACTGTAATCCTGGTAAGCTTAATAATTCTTTACCTTGTTTTACTCTTCGTCCCCTGAAACATACTTGTTTTCAAAAGCTTTCAAAGAACAAAACTAATTTTTCTGTACAACTTTGTGAATATAAAAATTTGCTTTTCAAAGAAAGTTTTAATCAAGAGAAGTTCAGTCTACTAGTTGAGAAACACAACTTCATTAATTGGTATATTCTAGCAACAAGGTATTTTAAACTGAAGACTTACGTAAGTTTGCCTTAGGTTCTTCCTTCTCTATTTTTTCTGTTGGTTAACTTCCCATACAGTTCTTATAAAACAAATCGTATACTTCTAAGTGTCGAGCCATCTGCCTCACAAGCCTCATCTGTGCCTATGGAATTCCCCACTGAGATGGCACTCAATTTTGAAAATGGTATTTGTTAAATACTGAGTCATTATTATGACTTTTTTGGGACTTCATTTCATTTAAAAGAGTTTTCCGTAGTCTCAGGTACTAGGGAGACTGAGGTGGGAGGATCGTTTGAACTCAGAAGGTTCAAGGCTACAGTGAGCCTTAAGCATGCCACTGCACTCCAGCCTGGGTGCCAAAGCAAGACCCTGTCTTAAAAAAAAAAAAAAAAGAAAAACCACACATTCACAATACAAATACACATGCGTACACACACACATATATGTATATATATGATTTTCTAGGTAAACCAAATATAAATTTAGTTATTAAAGATCCTAAGATTCAGAGAAACACTATACTTAATTGGAGGTCCAGGTTTTGACCTGGCAGCCTGGCTCTTTAACCAGGGTAAAGGTAGTGTTGCAACAGCCCTGAAGACTTAACGGTATTCACAATGCTATAATTGGTGACATTGAACTAAAGGTGACGTGAACACAGCTGGATATTCATTGTAGCCTGGGGCCCTGACCGTTCCAGTCTGTATTGAACTCAGCCTAACACATAAGAGTACAAACACTCCAATTGGGTGTTGTTTGTTGGGAGAAAAATGGAATGAACTAAGATAAAGACTGACCAGTACACTGAAGCCTGAGCATTCCCTCTTCCCCACGTTTTTAAATTTTTAATAGAAAAATATCCAGCATGGTGGTGTTTCAAAGATGGGTTTGATCACACATACTTTGTTGTACATGTCTGCCCAAGCTGTCACTAATTTATTTGCTAAAGTTTAAAATGTTCTTTTCCTTTCTCCAAAGTAATCTACATTCTTTTCTTCCAGCCGACCCCTTGGTGGGAAGTATTGCCACTCAGTATATGACCAACAGAGCAGAACATGACAGAACGGCCAGACAGTGGACCAAGAGATACGCTACATAAATTGGCTTTTCACAATTCTTACATTATTTGTCTGTCACAGAAAAGAGCTGCTTATGATTTTGAAGGGGTGAGGGAGGGTGGGAAGTTGGTAAAGAGTAGGGTATTTCTATAACAGATATTATTCAGTCTTATTTCCTAAGATTTTGTTGTAACTTAAGGTATCTTGCTACAGTAGACAGAATTGGTAATAGCAACTTTTAAAATTGTCATTAGTTCTGCAATATTAGCTAAAATGTAGTACAGAAAAGAATGTACATTTAGACATTCGGGTTCAGTTGCTTTTAGTCTGTAAATTTAAAACAGCTTACTTTTGTACAGGTCACACACATGGCCATTTATGTAAAGTCCCTGTAAGACTACATAATTTTTGTTTAAAACAATTGGAATTCGTTTTCCCTTCTTGGAAGGGAACATTGATATTTAAACAGAGTTTTTAAGAGACTGTCATCTCATATATATAACGTGGACACGTGGCTGTAAAACACCATATAAGAAGTACTGTGTTTTATTTTATATGCCAATCTGCTTTGTTTAAAAAGGTTTGAATCAGGACTTGTGAAACCCTGTAGTGAAATACCTTAAGCTGTTAACTGTAAGGCGTGGAATAGGAGTTGCTCAGTGGATTGGTTATATGTTGTGGACTACTAAAGTCTGCATTTGTTACTGTGCTAATAAACAATATTAAAAACCACCACCTAATACTGCTATGTTCATTTACTTTAACATTTTGCATGTTACACAGAATGAGTATATCTTCTCAAACACCTTGGGGTTGGGGGGAAGTTACACATATGGGCATTTGCATAACTACCCAAACTTTTTAAGTGTTTTCACAAGTACAACATAAATAACAAAGGTGCTCATTTCAGAGACAGGTTTCAAACAATGAGAGTAAGAATATATTCTTTCATATCAGGCAATAATAAACTTAGCCCAAGTAATTAATTATAACATCTAAAGTGCATTAAATGACTTCCTTAGGAATCTTCCTAAGGACCAAAGGTAGATACAAATGGCCTGTTTTAAATGGTAATATTACTCCACGTTCACAGACACTTAAAGGCAATCACTATTCAACACACAATTGTAGAATTACTGATTTTTAGTTCTCAGAGCTAGAGTTCCCTTTGTTTTTCCTCCCAGGCAAAGGAAAACTTGATTTGCTCTGGGGTTGGGAAAGTTTACTTGCTAATAAAGTGAATGGTTCAATCAGAGTTTTCCGATCGGTAACGGTCACCTCCCACAGTCTCACTTTCTCACTTTTTGCCCACTGCTGTGCCACTTCAGCGTCCACTTGTCTCTGCTCAGACAGGTCGATTTTGTTTCCTAATACAACAATTGCTACCTGAAAGAAAACGGATTGAAAAGATCATACTAGTACTTTGCCAACATCAGTTCCTAGACAAAATGGAGACATGAGGAAAACTGTCTCACTTAACAAACTGCTCATTAAACTGATTCTCAAGTAGGAGTGGATATTAGGATATCACCTTACTCCTTAATGCATTTTTGTTAAAAATGGAGCTGCTCAGCTGGGCGCAGTGGCTCACGCCTACAATCCCACACTTTGGGAGATCCAGGCGGGCAGATCTCTTGAGGTCAGGACCACCCTGCAAACATGGTGAAACCCCATCTCTACTGAAAATAAATTATCTGGGCTTGGTGGTGTGTGCCTCTAGTTTCCTCTACTTGGGAGGCTGAGGCAGGAGAATCGCTTGAACCCAGGAGGCAGAGGTTGCAGTGAGCTGAGATGGTGCCACTGCACTCCAGCCTGGATGACTGCACAAGACTCTCTCAAAAAAAGAAAAAATGCAGATGCTCTGTAGTTACTTTTTTAAAATACAGTTAGCAAACAAGTTACTCAGCTCAGGTATGAATGGAACATAGACTTGGGAAATTAGCATCTAGGATAAAGACGGTGGTTTCAATGTGTCTGTATTTCAGTTTGGCTATAACTTGATGTATGAGAGACTTGCAATATAGTACTTCAAAGTAAGAACTGGAGCTGTAGGAATTCTGTATCCATGAGAACAGGAATTTTTGTTGTGTTCACATTATTCCCAGTACTAAAAAGGTGCCTGCTAAGTATCTGTTAAATGTATGGGGGCAAAAAAAGCATGGGCCAATAGGAACATTTTACACAAATGCTTACCTATACATCAGGCACTAAAGCTCAGGAAGGAGAAGAGACCCCAACCAGCTTTTCAGATAATGACCACAAAGATTACACAGGATGCTGTGACAGTAGAGGGAGGGCAGCAAGAACTGTCAAAGCCCCTGTGAGGAGCAGCAATTAACTCACCGGACCTTGGACCCACTGTCCTCTTCCTTCCTGTAAGTTGAGCTTGAGCTCCCTGTGCTCCAGGTAAGGCCATGCCTTGCTGGCAGGATGAAAGTGAGCCCAGAGCTCCAGTTTTCTTGGTAAACCTCATACTTCATCTCACCCTTCAAACCCTGTCATTCTTCCTCACTCAGTTTTTCATCTTCATGTACATCCCCTGCTGTGACCTCCATCTCCCTCTCCTCCCAACTGCAGAGACTCATTCACTTTACCCCTCAGAATTCAGCAAGACCCACCCCCACTGCATCCTCCACCTCTGCTTTCAATGTTCCCTTCACCACCCTTCCCAGTTGCCTTGCAGTCCCGTTTCCCCTGTCGCTCCCCTCCTACCACCATCACAAGGTCAGGGTAAGAGGTCCTCCTTGTCCCTCACTGCTGCCTCCAATGGTGTCCTTCCCTAAAACCCCTGCAGAAGGCTGATGCTCAGTCTGTTGTACCTAGTAAACCCAAGCCTGTCCCGCTAGCTCCTCATCACAGACCTGGCTCATGGTCAACCCGCCCTCGAGGTTACTCTCGTCCTAATTCTTAGTGACTTCACTAGCCATGCAGATGCTGCTTCCAGTAACCTGGTCTCTCACTGACTTCTCCAATGGTCTCATCATCCTTACCTTAGACATTCACCACTCCCATGGTCACATCCTAGACCTGTTTTGTTTTTCTTTTTAAAGAGACAGGCTCTCTCTGTCACCCAGGGTGGAGTGCAATGACTTGATCATAGCTGGTTGCAACCTTGAGCTTCTGGGCTCAAGCAATCCTGATCCTCCTCCTCAGCCTACAAAGCGTCTGGGACCACAGGTGTGCACCATCATGCCCAGCTATTTTTTTAATTTTTAGAGATGGCGTCTTACTTTGTTGCTCGAGCTGATCTCAACCTCCTTGCCTCAAGCAGTTGTCCTGCCTCAGACCCTCTAAGTGCTGGGATTACAGGTGTGTGTGAACCACCACACCCAGCCTAGACCTTGACATTGTAACTGCTCTCCATTTCAATTCCAGGCATCCCACTCTGACTCCTGCCTTCCCAGTCATGCCTAATGCCCCCAGTGCAAGAATTCTAAACACCACAAGAACATACAACCCACTGGCTCTACTACCTTCATCACTGTCCTTCCCCCCTACTCATGTCCTTCATTCCTCCTCACCCAGCTTAGACCAGTTTTATTCACTCCCTTGTCCCCACTATCCTACTATATTCACCTGGCAAAACCCCTCCTTTGTTAACTGTTAACCAGACTCGGTGCCTACACCATTTAGCTGAATAGCTGGAGAAAAGCATACAACCCTGCTGGCCCAGATCATGCCACTGATCTCAAATGAACGGGTGTTCTCCGGCAAATGTATTACATTTTATCCATTTACTCTGTAATGAGACATCTCATACAATTTCCAGTATCTACTCTTTCTTCCCCACTTTCCTTTCAGCTGATATTGTTTCAGTAAGATATGCAATTAGAAGAGAATCTCCACATGCTTCCACCACCACATCTAACAACCTATCATCTTCCAACGCCATTCACTCTGCCGTGAAACCCATCCTCTACCTGCACAAGGATGTCACTCCAACACTTAGTCCCCTCATCATCAGTTTTCTTCCACTAGCATAGAAACACAGTGTTACCTAAATAAACGGTCAGGCATGGTGGCTCACGCCTATAACCCTAGCACTTTGGGAGGCCGAGATGGGTGGATCACCTGAGGTCAGAAGTTCGAGACCAGCCTGGCCAACATGGTGAAACCCCGTATCTACTAAAAATACAAAAATGAGACAGGCATTGTGGTGAGCACCTGTACTCCCAGCGACTCGGGAGGCTGAGGCAGGAGAATCGCTTGAACCCAGGAGGTGGAGGTTACTGTGACC